CAGCTGATAATAAATCAAGTCTCTGCAAACACTTGATAGCTTTGTCTTCAGTCACTGGATCCAATAGAACTCCAGAATATCCTACAATTACATGTACACGTACATGTACATAATAATAACTAAGCTTAATACTGATCAATATACAAAGATTGCATATTTTAATATACAACAACTCATTGATACATGTATGGTTTACTTTCACATAAATTTACATGTACATACTGTATAGCAGGAAATACTGACAGTAATAACAATAATTGGTATAATATTCAACATTTTATAACTGGACAACTTACCCATCTTCGGTCGCTTCCTTTTAATGACACGACGACACATTTCCTTAAAGTCATGGAAGTACAGAGTAAGACGATCATCGGTCTTCTTGCCAAGATTAGCCAATTGCCTATAAATAATCATTTTAATACATGTAACTCCAAAATCTTAATCTTTGCAGCTATATGTAAAGCTGCATCTAAAATACAATTAATGATATCCTGTACATGTATACATGTATGTGTATAATAAATCGTAATAGCCCTACAATTAATTATTTATTATCAATGCACATTCTCTCCAACAATGATTATGATACCATTAATATTCGTATTATATGAGAAGTACCTGTAAATGCTAAATGTCACTGCATGTGTATAATTTAACCGTTTTATGGACAAGGAAAATAAAAAAGAACCGGGAATAAAATTAAGAGCATAATAACCAATAGTGTACATAATTAATTATTAATAAGTTGTACCTAAAGTGTGTCCAATCATATTTATTTGATCCTTCTTCATATTCAATGCCAAAGTACGACACGATACGACCAAAATCTTGCTCCTCTCTTTTTGACCATTTCTGAGCCAACTCAGCTTTCTTTAGCTCTCTCTTCCTCGAGACTTCAGCTTCCCTCTCCTTCCTTTCTTGCTCCTATGAAAAAAATTAAAAAATAATTATAAAACTAATTATAAAAACTAATTTAAAGGCAAAAACAAGTAAACTACATGCATGTACATAATTACTGCATCCAAGCGTACATTATGTACTCTTGCTGCATCCAATGCATGGCCTTGCTTAAAGTATACATGGCAGGGCCTGCATCCTGCATACAGTGTCACTAGTCTATGATGCTAAATTGAAACTAAAATTATTACAACTACTATAAAGAGTGTACATGTACATAATCCTGTACTTTAAATATAATGGTATACTGGCTTCATTTTGGCTAACTAGCCAAAGCAAACAACCCTCACAAATCCAACTGAGCATCCACCATGATGAGGGCGTGGTTGGTTTGGATTGATTGATTCACATTTCATAATCACAATGGTGGCTGAAAAGGAGAGGCTTGTTTGAGCTCAGCCAACTCCTGTATCGTCTTTACCAGCTACAAACAAGCCCCAACAAAAACAAGAATCACTTGTACTTCTACAGACTGGCCGGAACAAGCGCCACACCGCATTAATCCTCCCTTTTTGAATAATAAAGTCAGAAGACAGTACAGCAACACCTCGAGCAACACAATAATGTTTGGTGGAGCCGATATTCCAGAAGATAACGTAATACCGGTATGTTATAAGTTTGACAACTCACAAGCACGCAGAATCGGTGTAGCTCGAGCAGCCAGTGGTGTCTCAACATTGATCGTCTCACTAGTTGCTATTGTCATCATACTCTCCATGAAAGCCATCAAGCAGTATCCGCAACGCCTCTTCTTTTACTTGACTCTAGCAACTCTCATACAAGCGCCTACGTTTACACTAGAAGTGTTATCTGTTAGCTACAACAGAAGCGAATCTGAGCAGCCCCTGTGTAGCATAGCTGGCGTATACACAATGTACACAAGCTGGTTACAGAATCTCATAATATTGTGGATATCGTTATACCTAGTGAGAGTCATCGTACTACGTTTAACCGTCTATAACAAGAAGCTAGAGGTTTTCCTTCTAATACTATTCCTTGTTTTGCCTATCCCTGGGGCACTGATACCGCTCATTAAGAACAAGTACGGTATGGTGGGAGCTTGGTGCTGGATAAAGGACTTCAATTCGACTGATTGTGTACGTCACGATAACCTAGGAATAGCGTACCAGTACACTCTTTGGTTTATACCAGTAATGCTAGAAGTAGTCATAATTGCTATTGTGACTGTATTGATAGGAGCTGTGTTATGCGTTCGTGGATTCATCGCTAAGAAGTACGTCCTCTTCCAATCTGAGTATCGGAAGTTGCTACGCGACTCTATCCCACTTCTCTGCTTCCCATTATTCTTCTGCTCCATTAGCTGCTTTGAGTTAATATTGTACT